CTATGCTAAGCTAAGCTATGATATGTCATGATATGCTATGCTATGCTATGCTGCTCTATGCTATGCTATGCTATGCTATGATATGCTGCGCTATGCTATGCTGCGCTATGCTGCGCCATGCTAAGCTAGGCTAAGCTGAGCTAAACTGAGCTAAGCTAAGCTAGGCTAGGCTAAGCTAAGCTCAGCTAAGCTAAGCTAAGCTAGGCTAGGCGAAGCTAAGCTAAGCTAAGCTCAGTTAAGCTAAGTTCAGCTAGGTTAAGCTAGGATGAGATAAGCTAAGCTAAGCTAAGGGGGCGCGACTGAGGGAACCGCGGGGCGGGGACCGGGGGAACCGCCCGGGGCGTGTAGCACTGCCCGGCCCCTTTAAGCTAAGAGAGTAAGAACCCTCTAGGCAGAGCCTAGGTAGGGAAGCATGTGCAATTTTTTATGCATTGAGGGCGATTTCTTTTAAACATGTGGCTATCGCCCCAGCGCCGTGTGCATTCGTGTTAAGCATGTGCGATCGTTTCACGGATTCAGGTCGGGTGGTTTTCAACATGTGACTCTCGCCCTAGCGCCGCGCACATTTTTGTAAAACATGTGCATTTTTTCCGCATTGAGGAGGACTCCTTTTAAACATGTGGCCATCGCCTCAGCGCCGCGCATATTTTTGATTTAAAAACTTGGACGAGTTTCATGGTTTCCCATGGTCAACGTACCAACTATGGTGTTTGGAAGGATTTATGATGATGCGGTTGCAGCAGTTTTGTTGGTTCGCGGTGCTGAAGTTCCCAAAAAGGTGTTATGGCACGATTCCGTATCGACAAGACGTATCAGTCGGATTGATGCGTGGCGGTGAAATTGTGAGAGCAATCTTTTGGCATGCTTCGGGGTCCTCACAGTGGCAATTCCTTCAATGGAAATCAACTGTTGTAGGGGCCTACAAGGAGTTTGGAGGACGGGTTAATTCCAACATCGTTGATGACTCTTTGGTTTACACTTCTCCTCCTCCTCCTCCTCCCTCCTCCTCCTTCTCCTCCACCTCCCTCCTCCTCCTCCTCCTCCCTCCTCCTCCTCCTCCTCCTCCTCCTCCTCCTCTTTCTCCTCCTCCTCCTCGTCCTCCTCCTCCTCCTTCTCCTCCTCCGTCCTCCTCCTCCCCCTCCTCCTCCTCCTCCTCCTCCTCCTACCTCCTCCTCCTCCTCTATCCTCCTCCTCCTCCTCCTCCCTTCCTCCTCCTCCTCCTTCTCCTCCTCCCTCCTCCTCCTCCTCCTCCTCCTCCTCCTCGATCCTCCTCGTCTCTCTCCTCCTCCTACTCCTCACTTCCTCCTCCTCCTCCTCCTCCTCCTCCTCCTCCTCCTCCCCTCCTTCTCCCTCCCCCCTGCCTCCCTCCCTTTTTTCTTTCCCCTCCTCCCTCTCCTCTCCTCCTCTCCTCCTCCTCCTCCTCCTCCTCCTCCTCCTCCTCCTACCTCTTCTTCCTCCTCCTTTCCTTCTCCTCCTCCTCCTCCTCCCTCCTTCTCCTCCCTCCCCCTCCCTCCCTCCTTCCTCCTCCTCCTCCTTCTTCTCCTCGTCCTCGTCTCCTCCTCTTCCTCCTCCTCCATCTCCTCCTCCTCCCCCTCCTCCTCCTCCTCTGCGCTCCTCTCCTTTTCCTCCTCCTTCCTCCCCTCTCCTCCTCCCTCTCTCCTCCTCCTCCCCCCCTCCTCGACCTCCTCCTCCTCCTCCTAATCCTCGTCTTCCTCCTCCTCCTCCTCCTTCTCATTTCCTCCTCCTCCCTCCTCCTACCTCCCTTCCTCCTCCTCCCCCATCCTTCCTCCTCCTCCTCCTCCTCCTCCTCCTCCTCCTCCTCCTCCTCCTCCTCATCCTCCTCCTCTCCTCTCCTCGTCCTCCTCCTCCTCCTCCTCGCCTCCTCGTCCCCTCCTCCTTTCCTCCTCCTCCTCCTCCCTCCTCCTCCTCCTCCTTCCTCCTCCTCCCCCCTCCTCCTCCTCCTCCTCCTCCCTCTTCCTCTTCCTCCTCCTCGTCCTCCTTCTCCTCCTCCTCCTTCTCCTTCTCTTCGTCCGCCTCTGTCTCCGCCTCCTCCTCCTCCTCCTCCTCCTCCTCCTCCATCCTCCTCCCTCCTTTTCCTTCTCCTCCTCCTGCTCCTCCGCCGCATCCTCTTCCTCCTCCTCCTCCTCCTCCTCCTCCTCTCCTTCCTCCTCCTCCACCGCCTCCTCCACCTTCTCCTGCGCCTCCTCCCCCTTGGGGTGCGGTCTATGCGCTCAGCACCTCTTGCGAAGAGCCTTTGCGCCCTCGGCCGCACAGGGGTCAGCCCGCCAGAGCGAGGCGCGACGGTGCGGCCCAGGCGCAGGAGGAGGGAACGCGGAATCTGAGGATGAGGATGAGGATGAGGATGAGGATGAGGCTGATGATGATGATGATGATGATGATGATGATGATGATGATGAAGATGCTGATGATGCTGATGCTGATGATGATGATGATGCTGATGCAAATGCTGATGATGATGATGCTGATGATGATGCTGATG